TACTTGGTTTTTAACTGTCCCATCCACATGGGAGGCCCAGACTGGGTGAAAAGTCTCTGAAAGGAGTGTTCTGTCCAACCTTAGGCAAGACCAATGTAGACCACAAAGAACCAAAAATCCCACTTTTCTAAGAAAATAATGCATTCTTTAATTCCTAAATATGTATAAAGAATAAGACAATTTATTTTTTTATTTTATTTTTTTTGAGACAGAGTCTCACTTTGTTGCCCAGGCTAGAGTGAGTGCTGTGGCGTCAGCCTAGCTCACAGCATCCTCAAACTCCTGGGCTCAAGCAATCCTCCACCATGCCCGGCTAATTTGTTCTATATATGTTAGTTGGCCAATTAATTTCTTTCTATTTATAGTAGAGACGAGGTCTCGCTCTTGCTCAGGCTGGTTTCGAACTCCTGACCTTGAGCGATCCGCCCGCCTCAGCCTCCCAGAGTGCTAGGATTACAGGCGTGAGCCACCGGGCCCGGCCGTAATAAGACAATTTAAATCCCCAAAAATAATCCAAAACTTTTGAGAATGCTTCAGAATTCACATTTCCCTTGGTAGAAAAGCTAAGCACCCCAAGCAGGAAACAACTTCCGGACATCAACGTATTGGAAGCCAGCTTAGCTCCTGCTCCAGGAATTCCATGCTTAGAACCAGAAGCATTTAATGGGGAGTTCCATCCTGTGTCTTCTTAACTCTTCCCCAAGGTTGAGATAATGTTTGTTTGTTGAACAAAACAGTCATCCAAGTGCACATCTGTTGAAAAGCTTCCAAGCAAGTTGAGAGGCCAAGGCAAGGAGGAAGAGCAGCTAATCAGAAATCAAGGGCAAGAAAAGTTGTATCCAAAATAAATATAGTACAAAATGCCCAGAATAGCCCAGAAAGACAGCTGATGACCTTTTCCTCTAAAATCTCTTAATGTCACAGTATCAAATGGCCTAAGTGTCTAAAGCCAAGCACATAATTACCACAACCATGGTAAGGGAATAAAGGTAGAAAACACATACACCAACAAGAAAAGCTGATGGTACAATTACAATTTGTGTTTTGAAATACAAACGAAAACACAGAAGACGATTATTGTTTGTGTTGGCAAGGGATTACGGCTTGGTTCAAGGTACTAGTCACAGGAAGTTGCCAAGGCTCTTTCAATCTGAAAGATGCCATAATTGCTACAGAGATAGCATGTATTATCTTCTGCCTAGAAACTAAATGGATATTGCTATAATACAATGGGCATAAATTGCTACACCCCCAATTTAAGTCTCCTCTTGGCTAAAGAACCTCTGAGCTGTGACGTGATGAAGAGACGGGAACAGCACTATGATATGCAAGGAATGCAGAGCACACCTAGAGACCCAACGTCATTGCTTTGATCATGACGTTCAGAGCCTTGAGCTAAATAATAGATTTAAGAATCAGTGAAATCCCTTCTTCTACTTCTCTGCTCCTGAAGCAATGGAGAGCCTTGGCTCATTGAAATTCTGGTGTCAGAACCCAGCTTTCCCCTATATTCCACACCACTAGACCACAGATCCACTAAGAAAGAGTCAAAATTCTCTTAGATCCTCTTCCCCCTTCTTAAAAAACTGCTGACACCACACACCTGAGGCCTCCCAATTAAATGTATAAATGCATGGTAATCTGAGAGAAAGACCACCACCTGCCCCGTTACACAGCCAGTGGGTAAGTACACACACCTGCCACTGGTTTGATTATTTGCTACGTGTGTAAACTGTTCTTCTCTGTCTACAGTTACACTCTATAACATATCTGTCTCATAGAGAAAAGAGAAAAAAAGTCAAAGTCACTGGCTGCCAATTTCCTAAGAGGTGAGGAGAAAGCAAAGCAACTGAGAATAAAAAAGACTGCCATGGCTTTGGCAAGAAGAGCAAATAGCTTCTAACAGCCCAGAAACTTTATCCACACTCACACATGAGAAGCATCTGCTTGAAGGGAGCCTTCTAAAGGCAGAACTGGATCGCCATTTGATCGTAAAGGTGAGCCTAGATATTTGGTAGGAGGAGGAGAAAGCACTAAGAAAAATGGAAAAGAAAATCTTTTGTGAGTTACAGGATAAAAAGAAATTCACGTACATATTGCCTCAAGTTATAATGAGCCAAGAAAGCACAAGACAACCATATGCGCCGCGATTCCAAATAAGACCACCATCCCCAAGCCATATTTTTAGAATGTTTAGTACGAGTTACCTAAAATAAACAATGTTTGGTTCACAAAAGACAGTTAGGAGATAGAAAACTTCAATCCCCATATAACAAAGTGTTATAAAGACTGCAGGAAGGGTTTAGAGAAAAGGATACAAACGGCAGAGCTATGGTAGATGCTTTTCTTTGGGGATGACATTATCTCAGAGGTTATAAATTGCCTGCTTACAAACCACTACACTGTAAGGTGGACTGACTCTACAGGCAGGCCTGGGCGAGTAATGGAGTGTACAACCCCATGGCCTTCCTCGGCCTAATGCAAAGAAGACAGAAATGAAGCCTGACAAGGGGCCCCACCTCATTCCCATGCCTGGGTCCATCCAAGCCACCAAAGTGGTATAACCAGACAGCTCTCACCACCATCGTCCATGAACTCAGCAACCATAAGCACAGGGGAGACTAGGGTGTTGCCCACACTCTTAGGCCAATGACATTTCATCTATTTGCCAGTTGCCAGAACAGCCACAAGGCTGAAAGTACAAATATTCCAAAGCTTTTCATTGACTTTATTTATTTATTTATTTTTGAGACAGAGTCTCGCTTTGTTGCCCAGGCTACAGTACCGTGGCATCAGCCTGGCTCACAGCAACCTCAAACTCCTGGGCTCAAGTGATCCTCCTGCCTCAGCCTCCCAAGTAGCTGGGACTACAGGCATGCGCCACCACGCCCGGCTAATATTTTTTTCTATATATTTTTAGTTGTCTGGCTAATTTCTTTCTATTTTTAGTAGAGACGGGGTCTCGTTCTTGCTCAGATTGGTCTTGGACTCCTGACCTCGAGCGATCCTCCCACCTCGGCCTCCCAGAGTGCTAGGATTATAGGCGTGAGCCACCGTGCCCAGCCTTTCGTTGACTTTAATTCTTTCCTGTTCTCAGTTCCATACATATTCCTGGGTATCAAAGGACAGAGATCAGAGCTTAAAAGTAATTCTTAACTGATACCACTAGTATTTAGGATTTATTTTTAATTATATGAATTCTACTTAATCCAATATTTGATTTTCATAATTTTAAAATATTCCTCTTAATAAATATTTTCTTGAACAACTGAGTAACAGAACAAACCCAAGTTTTATTTGGGACACTCCCAGTTGTGTGACTTTAATGGGTGGACTGAGACTTGAAATAGAGGTGTAAGATAAGGCCAAATACGGCTCCCATAATCCAACTATGCCACAGACTTACATGCAATGTCTGGCATGTCTGTTTATGTAGTTTAGATAGAAATATACACACACTTTAATGAATAGAGCATGTGCATTAAAGTAACTATTGGTGTGAAAATAAAGTTATAAATACAGTATTCAGTGTAGCCTTCAGTCAGTCATGACAGTCTGGTCATTTGGCTTTTTAGCTGCTGAGGACATGAACTACTTTCTGAACCTAGGTCACATCATAAGACTATTCCTTCCCCCACTATTACAAGTACCGAAATCTCTTGTCACAAGAACTTCGGATCTGAAACAGGCCTAAGAAAGAATCTAGCATCTAGAAAAACACAAATCCACCCAAAACCAGGCCTTACATTTGAGGGATTCATAGAATCCGCCTCTGCCTCAAAGTCTCAAATGTAAATTAACCTCCTGATTTTACAGATGAGGAGACTGAGGCCCAGAACATTTAAATGATATACCAGGATGTCCACAGGTAGTTAGTAGAGAAGTCAGTACAAGCATTTAGACTCTTGGCTTAAATATACTCTTTGACTCTAAGTCACTCTAATAATTTCCTTTATAGAACACTAGATTATTAATTCGTTAGATCAAAATCTCACTTGGGGGGGAAATCACACTTACTCTGTATCATGTGTCCCCAGAGCTAGTCCAGACTCACTGACAGAAGTGGAAAGAGGTTACCCAACCTCAATCGCCAGGAACACACACCCTATGCCGACTGTGGTCATCAAAGAGCTACCCACATAGCCTCTTACCTCTTGACAAATCAGAACACTTGTTTGCAAAGTGCCAGGCAAAAGAGTTAAGAACATAATGTATAAAATTATGACTTTCCTTTGTGCAAAATATGACCCTCCTTTTCCACTAATCTCAGCTCCACTGGCCTCTTTTTGAACTAACCAAGTAAACCAGTTCAGACAACCAACCAAGAGTATCTTCACTGACTCACCCTGGGGAGGGGCAAGCCATGGACACACGGACTAATGTCTCCTTTCATCCCTCCTCTGAGTTTCCGTCCAAAGTGAGGCAAGCAGGAAAACATTTTTGTTAGTAGTCACCACACTTTAAAAAAACAAAAGTCTCATATTTTAAACAAATTGTCTGAAAACTCCTGCGAAGTGTCAGATACAAACGGGTAATATTAGTAACGAGAACGAGAAAAATAATAAGAACACTATTGTTTTTAGTGGTGGGGCCATGTGTCCAGAAGCACGCGGCTAACACCACTGTTGTAAACTGTCGTGGCAAATCGATGGGGCATCTTATAGGTGGGCATATTGCCATCCCCATTTTACAGATGTGGAAGTGATCCAGGGAGGTCCCGGGACTAGAGGGTGCTGGAGATGTGATCTGAATGCAGAATGCTCTCACAGCAAAACTCACATGCTCATGTCCCATATTTGTTTGGGGAAAATACATTTTTTTTCCCTAGTTCAACAGTTTCATTAAGTTCGTTTCTGACTCAAGGTTCATACTTTAGGGACTGGTGTTTTTCAAAGCTTCTTAAAACAAGTTGGGCTCAATGAATTGCTCAGAAAATGCTTTAAGAGTGCCTGCTGAGCTCCAGCCTGTCTGATCAAATCAAATTTTATTTCTCTACTCACGTCTCCCTAGACACGCCAGGTTTCATAAGCTGAGTCTTCCCCCCTGGGTTGTCACTTTTCCAAGGCTCTTGATCTGGTTGGCAAGATATCCTGACAGTTTCCAAGGGGGGAGTCCAGACATCTCTCTCTTCTGGATCTATTTTCTCATCCCCTCTGTAAGCCTTTCCTGGTGCCAGGCAACCAAAATCCTTCTCTGCCAGGGCAACAGGCTTTACGACATCACTCACGCATCAGAGGGGGCTCCCACCTGGTCACACCCACCAAAAGTACTCTATGAAAACATCTTCATCTATCCCGTAGAGCAAGCAGGCTTAGAACACCACGTTGAAGCACACAAATCACTTAGCTACCTGAAGTTCAACATCACTCCACAGTGCCATTGAATCTAAATTTCTGTAGTCCCTGAACAAACACAATACAATCATCACCAAAAGATTTGCACAAAGCATGCATAGGAACGCTATTACTAATATGCCCAAACTGGAAACAATCTAAATATCTGGCAATTATGAAACAGACAAACAACTGAATACCATTAGAGGAAGGAGAATGAAAAAAAAATAAATGACTACAGGCAATATCGTAGATGGATTTCACAAACATAATAAGTAAAACAATCCAGGTGCAAAAAGAGTATATACTGCATGATTCTATTCATGAATTTTTGAAAAACAGGCAAAACTAAACAAAGTCAGCATGTTGGTTACTCCTGGGAGCATGAGGGAAGGAAGACTCTGGGGTACCGGTAATTCCTATTAATTGAGGCACTGGTTACAGAGGTGTGTTCACTTTGTGACAATGACTCCATCAAGCCATCCACTTACGATGTGTGTGCACTTTCCTCTACGTATATTTCAATAAAGAGCTGAGTCAGAGAGACCCCTGAGATCATCTGGTCTGGTCTGTGCCCCGTAGTTGGTAGAAGAGTAACTGTGTCCCCTGGACCTTAAATATCTCAAGGAAACAGAGGAAATCCACAGAAGGGCTGGGACTGGCCATCAGATCTCTTAACTCCCTACCCAGGTACCAAAGGTACCTCTCCAACACGGGAGGATGTTTCTCTAAACCTCCTTCTTTACTGTGACTTTAGCCAAGGTTTCCAAGGATTAGGGTCACATTCCTCTTTAAGAACATAACCCAGAAGGCTCCAGTCTCCTATTGACACCCATGCCAAGAAGAGCATCTAAACACTATTTCAGACAAATCAGAAAATGACAGACAGTGCGGTGCTCACACTGGTTGGCTATGTGACCTCTGGCACGCTCCTTCCTCTCCCTGACCCTCGGGATCCTCATCTATTAATAGATCACTGAACTGTTAACTCCTGCTCTGCAGGGTGCCATGAGGATAAGGTCATAGTGTCAGAGCAGTGTCTGGTACATGGCAAGCACCCAGAAAATGTATCTGTGGAATGAATATTGAATTGAATGAATCAAATGCTTGTCACTTGGCAGAAGCTCGATAAATAGTAGTTATTACTGAGTAAGGGGAATAGAGAGAAAGGGACCCGTACACGGGCTAGTGAAAACCACCACCTCATTTTCTAAGCCTATTGAGTCATTAACAGGTGGACCAACAATTCTCGCTGGTGGAGATGAGGCGCAGAAATGGCCTGTGAGGTAGAACAACTAAGGACTTGAGGGTAGGATTGTGCCTGGAAGGATTAGGATACCAGCTCTGTGTTTCCCTTCACAGGGCCAAATAAAGGATTTGCTCATTGCCTGCCGTACCATGTCTAAATCCTACAACCACCTAGGCTAGGCACACCACTCTTATAAATGAAAAGTTTTTAAAGGCAGCGAGAAGGTAGAAACTCTCTTAGACTTAATGAGTAGACAACTAGAAATACATTCACACACTGAGAGAGAAAGGCTTTAAAGATGCCATAAATAAACGATGGTGAGGGGTAAGTTTACTTACGTTTTCAAAACACAGGCTTAATACTGATTGTTTTAGTTCTTCAAATCTTGGCTATACTAAGCAAACTGATCCATACAAGTTCTTTTATACTGAAAAGAAACAAATATAAAAATGACAAATTAGAACTCATTTCAAATTATAGCACACACACCAGAGAAAATAAAAGCTATAAATCGTAAATGATTGTATAAACAGAAAACATCAAACTAGACAATATGGGTGTCATTAAAAACCAGAAAATATAAATTAAGGACTTCCTTCCATCTATCCTTCCTCTTTCTTCCTTCTCTCCATCCAGCACTACTGCTCTCTCTTCCTTCCTTCCTCAGTTACTGGACAACCTCAAATATTCCTTTAAGATGAATTGTCTGCCGAAACCATCACCATTAAATTTTACAGCACGAAGTTCGTAGCACATGGTAGGTACGCTATGAATGAATGTTGAGTAAATGAATGAACTGTGGTTTTATAATATTCAGTTGTTAAGGTGGAAAAAAAATGGAAAAATGCTTGTAATTTATTATTTGTCCAAAAGGAACACTGTGCAGACAATATACAGAAACGTGCACTATTTTTTAGACTTGCATTTCTGATTCTCTTACCTCTTTTAAATAACTCACACTTTAAAAAATTTCCGTTAGTATATATGGACACATATATCTGCACTATGATACAGTAATAACATATATTAATATTTTGGTAGTGAAAGAATATTTAAGAACAGTAAAAGTTCTTTTTGAGATGCTCCCTCTTCAAATACCACATATCCAAAGGAGATACCTGTATCCAAAGGAGAAAACAAGGTGTCTCCAAGTTAAATGTAAGAGATATTGCCACACATGTGTTTTTCAAATGTGTATATATGATCAGGTCCGGTCCTAGACAAAATCATGATGTAAGAACATGGCTGTTTCCTTCTCTCTCTGTCCTGCTGAGGATTCAGTAACCTCAGATGTTTAATCAAGCAGGGAAGCAATAGGATCAACTCTAAGGCTGAAACAACTTAATGCATATCCTTCCTGAGGATATTTTAACGTTTTCGTTAAAAAAAAAAAAGTGCTTCAGAAAAGGCAGATGTTCAACATTGAAACAAAATGCCTTACTGACAATGGAATTTCAGGCATGAATGGGGGTGCAGACTGTCTTCATGGAATTTCTCAACAGCTCATCAAATCACACCAGGTAATCCATTCTACCTTCTCTTAAAGCTGGCTTCATATATGGTCCATACATACCACACCAATCCTGGCAAATTTTAAGTAGTTAATGATATATACATAAACAAGCTGATTTTAAGACAGGCATGTGCTCCAAAAGTAAAGTTACATTAATCAACAGTTTTCAAAGTGAGCTTCCTAGGAACCCCACCCTGTAAGTGCTTCTGAGAAGAGAGGCAAGAGTGAGATGTGTGGCAGTGAGTAGACAGAGCAATTTCACCTTCTTCTATTTCATATTTTGAGCCAAGATTTAGGTAGAGAAGTGGTTCTTTGAGCTGCTTATGAAAGGATTGAAATAATCAATGCGACCAAAATATAATGAGGTTAAAAGCTACTGTAGAAAATCCTAGTGAGTTCACAATACACCATAATCCAACCAGCACCTGTCACAGGGCCTTCATGGGAAAGTATGACCAGCCAGGGGGCCAGGGCACAGGTCAGCCCAGGTTGGAGCTGGGCCTCCTCTTCCTCCCTAACTCAGTCCCTTCATCTCCTGCTCCGGAACAATGAGCAGAAGGAAGGACACTACACTTCCACGAAGACTGAACCAACAACAAGGGGGCGAGATTAGGGTGGGGAGAGCCCGTGGATACTCCAGAGATGGGGAGGGTGGGTGCTCCAGCAGTGAACAAGACACAGGGCTTCTGCCACTCCCTCCCTCCCCAGGCCCTGCCCCAATCCAATCCCCAACAGCCTCTGCTGAAAATTACATGGGCGAGGTTAAGGTTTACATGCTTCACCTAATGTCAGGGCTCTCAGGTAGGAATGAGAAAAGAGAAAATGAGTAGAACAGTTTAAAGAGAAGAAATATATGTTCTATCAGGCCCAATTCAAAACAAAAAAAAAAAAAAAAAGAGCATTATGAGAAAGTAAGCATTGACCAAACTTGCTCCAGGGAAACTCACATTAACTAAGAGGCATTGAGTATATTCAATCCCTCCCTCAGCACAGAGCTCCAATTCTTTGGCCCAACCAGGACTGAATACAAAAAACATTTATAAACACGAACCATTATATTTTTTGAGTTTTCATCATAGCCCTTGTTTAAGTAAGTCAAAGATGTTCTTTGTTATACAATTTTGATCGAATGCAAGAGACTTTAGTCATTTCCTCAGAAACAGACTTAAGCTATAAATACTAACAAACACAGCCATGCACAAAACGGCTCACTCACTGACAAGTTTAATTTAAAAACAAGAACGCATTATCAAACTGAAAAGTAAGCCATTAAAAAAAAAAAAAATCCAAACCCAGGCAAACAACATTCCTAGAAGAAAAAACCCTTAGTGTAATGACAAGTATAATTACAAATAGCTTTTTATTTGACTCACAAACCTGTCCTGTACAGAAGATTACAGAAGGGAAAAAAAAAAATACAGTCTATGCTTTGTACACATTTAATAAAACAAGCCCTTAACATCTTGCCCACAACCTTAAGGTTTCAAATTTCAAGAAAATTCACCAACCATTAAATAAGTGACTTCTAATATATCCCTTTGAGATGGAAAATGCATTTATCACTATTGTTTATTTTCTAAATCCCTTTGATATTCTAAAGCATGACCATAACTGAGAGTAACATGTTAAACATAATCATTAGGAAGCAAAGTTACTGTTTATTATAATGCATAATGCCACATTTCATGCTTAAAAACCAAATGGAATCCAAAGTCTCCTTTCAGATATGGCTTAAGTATCTAAAGCAAGGGTCTGTAAGTTGGCCAAATGTGGCCTGCCACCTGTTTTTGTAAATAAAATTTTATTGGAATCCAGCCATGCCCATTCATTTACATTCTGTTTGTGGCAGATTTTTGCAAGTAATAACACAGATCCTAGGATCCACAAAAAGTATCAAATATTATCGAGCAGTAAAAACACAGACCCTAGGATCCACAAAAAGTATAAGATGTTTATTATCTGGCCCTTTAAGAAAAGTTTGCTGACCTCTAGGTCTTAAAAAACCAGCTACTTCAGCAGACTGTTTTAAAACAAGAAATGATAATCTAGGTTGAGTGATTTTGCTGGAGAACTACCTAACTCACTTAACCTTTAATTTTGCTTTTATTTTCTCATTTATGATACACTCTTGGCTAATATTTATCAGGAACTTATATACCAGGCATTATTCTAAGGGCTTTACTTTTAGTAAATGAACAATGAATTTCTTCACTTAATTCTGACAAAAACCCTAGAAAGAAAGTAAACTATTATCCCTATCAAACAAATGAGGAAACTGAGGCAGAGAGGTTAAATACCTTGCCAAAGGTTAAATAGTAGAGAAATCAGGACCAAAACCCAGGCAATCTGGCTCCAGAGCTCATATTCTTAATCTCTATGCTATATTCACAGTAACTGCATAAAAGTAATACAAAATAAAAGCAAATCTCAAAAAGGTTAAAATCCAGTAAAATACACTTCTGCACAATTTAGGTTAAGATACCTAAGAGAAGAATATAAATGGACTTCCGTAGACTTTAAGACCCTTCTGATTCTAAGATTAGAGCTGACCTTAGAGTACTGAGACTATAACAGCCCACGATTTTCTTTCTTTTATATCATAAGTAATCAAAGAATCAAGCTAACTGCCACTATCTATCTTTTCCTTGGTAAGTAACGGCTCTCCAGGAAGTTCGGGCCCTTCGGGAAGCCTTCAGGATGAATGCTTATCAGAGAGACCCTAAATCTTCCAGGTTTGTTCCCATCTAGTCTTATCCTCCCCTCCAAGTTGCCATCTGGGAAAAGGCTGAGCCAGCACCAACAGAAATTATGGAAAGACTTCAGAGCCTGGTAAGAAGACCTGCATCCAGCCACAGCCACCACCTGGTCAGGAGGATGTCCCCTTGCTGAGTCATTCCCGCCACTTCCTGAAGCTCTCTGGGTTTCAGGAGGAAATGTGTCACCTAAATGTGACCCAGTGCCCTTTTGTACTAAAAGATAGTTTTATGTGGTTCCAAATAAATAGAATCGCTAAATCACTCATCACCAATTCATGTGCAGAGAGATGGGTCTTAACCTTCTTTTTCATCAGGCTAGTCTTTCACTGGTTTTCAGCGTCTGCACAGTGAAGTCCAAACCCTCAAGGTTGACATCGAAGACCCTCCGTATCCTATCCCTTTCCTGTTTTTCTCACATCATCTCCTTCTATTTTTGGTCTTTCATGCACCCAGGATGGCCTGCTTTTTGTTTTAGTGCATCATATCTACTCCTGCTTCTGAGGGCATACCCTTTGTCAAAGACCCTATTATTTTCTGTTATCAACATGGCATTCAGTGGATAGGCCAAATCTCTCTGCTAAATATCATGGGGTAAAAATTGTATATCCTGCCCACAGGATCCTCACAATGCAGCAGGGGAAATAGAGAAACACAAAAAACTAAATACATCTATATATTAGAGGTTCAAGTGCTACAGGACTCTGAACACAAGTCTAGAAAGACTTTAGAGAGACACCATCACCGATTTGGACCTCAAGGAAAGGAGAAACCTGACCGAGTTGGTGAGTTTATAAAGCTGTACGGGTGACCATAGAAGGGGTGACCTCATAGATTTCAGAGCCAGATAGACCTGGATCCAAAATCCTGGCCCCGTTGACTGGAATAGTGCTTGTAGGAGTTAAGATCAAATAAATGAAGTCATGCCTAATCATGCTCAAAACCATATTCAGCCAGTTCTAAATCTTGCCCAAATCAAGAAGCCTTTTCATAGTGCGTCCTCATACAGTCTTCCGCTTCTCTC